ATTTATTTATTTATTTATTTATATAAGCACTGGGTACAGTCAGAAGCGTGGGAAGGTGACAGAATTCACCAGAGCCAGAGCGGGGAGCAGAGCAGGCAGAAGGACCGAAGTACACTGCTGAGGGGAGCAGCAGGCGGCAGGAGAGGTCTGCGAGCCATGTGGGACCCTCCTGTGGTGGCCGGGGAGCAGCCGGAGATCGAACCGGCGCTGCAGAGGCTGCGGGCAGCTTCGCAACCCAGCGCTTAACCGCTGTGCCACCGGGGAGGCCCTAAATTCCATTTCTTTGGAACTACAGGTTGTTTTATTCTAGTACAATTTGGTCCTTATATAAATATTGTCAAGTTCAGTAACTGAAACCATCATATAGCAAACATGGCAATTTCTATTACCCAGAAAGATATCTGATATAAAGGCGGATTGTTTCAGAGTCACCAAGAAAAACTGGAACTGTTCATTTCATTAAGCAGCTTTCCAGCTCTTGAGCTGTGAGGCTTGGAAAGCACAAGCAGGGATAAGACAGAAGGGACAGGACAGCTATTCTATATTCTCCCCAGAAGGTCGTATCCCTTCTATGAGTCTCCACTGAAGAAGGGCCAGTGACTTTTCACCCCCAACCCTCCAAGATGAATTTGTAATACTTAGGTTTTTCTGAAGACTTTTTCCACCAATTTTCTCCCCTCTTAGTATATCTATACATTCATACATAAATGTATATCCATCTATGTGTACACCCACACACACAAATATACTTGACTATCTTATATACTCTGATTCCTTACTCCTAGCCCGGGGCAAAGGCAATCAATTTGATGGGCTTCCCAGGCATATCATTAGCAATGATTTCTTTTTACACTGTTTACATAAATCAGAGGATATTCAATGGTTATCTTATAATATCACCTCACACATTCCCAACATGCTTTTTGAAAGTTTCAGTTTTTTACTTGGGGTTGTCTATAGCCTGCAGCTACTTATCTCAATTATCCATGGACCTTGATGCAGCAGGATCTCAAGGGCTATCATGCTATAGAGCCTTGAAAACTGTGGTGCACAGTGTAACAATATGTGCTTCAATGGGTGCATATTACACACGTGAACTTCATTGTTCATGCTATCGCAGCAGGCAAAGAACAAAAAACACAAGTTAGAAACACTAAAGTAGCCATTTTTCATCCTTTCTGAAAACTGCTAGATCTAAAACAAAGCAACAAATAAATTTTAATTTGGCTAATTGTAGTGGCAGGATGGGCCATAGAGCAGGTTTTCTATGACTAGAGCAGACGGGTGAAGGAGAGTCCTGGAGCCCTTGGTGGCTTTTTCAGGCTTTTATTGAGTTCACCAGGTACACGGCAGACAGGGAAGCCAGGGGGCCGGGAGGCTGGCAGGCCTCTCATTCTCTTCTGCTGGTTCCATTCTCTGCTTTCTCACTTGTTCTCCTTCTGGTGGTCTTCAGAGGGCTCCATAACCATCTCCATTGAATCATCTTGCCGACTTACGCCAATTGTAGCAGTAGGAATGCACAATTCATGATCTCTACGAACTGTGCCTTCCCGCCGCTACACTAATTCTCTGTATAAGTCTGATTCCCAATAGGAAGCGTACAACTTCAAATTTAGATATTTCAAAGAAGTTTATTTACAAAGGGACCACTTATGAAAGTCCCAGTAGGGACTCACTCCCCGCACCCCTAGTCTAAACCAGTTCTTGCATGCATAAATAAATAAATCTTTAAAAAAAAAAAGCCACAAGGGTCAGTGCAAGGTCCTGGGACTAGCATCAAGTGATTTGTTACCATATCTGAGCAAAAAGAGACAAGGGAAGAGGTCACTGAAGTCCAAAAGGAGAGTGTCATGTGGAGGAAGCCATCTTGAGAGAAGCAGTGACCTTCAGAGAAGGGATGGTAACTAGAGGAATAAATACCTTGAGTGATCTCTACTCCCTCTTTTCCATGTAGTGTGATGTTCATCAATGGCATTGTATCAGTCAAATCCAAGTAATAACCTCTTTCTAGTTCTTTTCTTATCGAAATCTCTCCAGCATTTGACATGATTCTTCCATCATGAAAGCCTTTTCCCCTTTGATTTCTGAGATACTCTTCTTTCCTTGGTTTACCTTCTTCCTTCTCTGATTGACCCTACACTAGTTTCTTTACAGATTTCTTTTCCTCATTCTACTCCACAAATGATGGTGTTTCTCAGGGTCTAGTATGAGCCTACTCTTTCTCCTTGGGTGATTTTCATTTCTGCATCACTACCACCACCCAGTATTCAAATTCCCCCCGTGCCAATTACTGCTTGTTTTAGTTTGGGTTTCCTGAAACAAGAATGTGAGTGTAAGCTGTTTATTTTGAAGTGATGTAATTAGGAGAACAAGGAACTAAGGCTCTGAAGAGAAGGAAGTTAATAGAGTAAACATTATCAAGCAAGATAGCACAATGGGTAAAGGAGTTTATAGTCTTGCGGAGGAGCCCCAGAATGTGGTGTAAACCACACTTTAGAATTATGCTAGTCAAGGAGCAAATGAGCTGGGGTCTTTATACTCAACTCCTGAGAGTCATCAGGTGAGGGCTACTCCCAGGGGACATTAATTCTCAGCACTTTAAGCCTTCTATAAACGTAGGTGCAGCAGACCCTGAAAGCAGTTATTAGCAATGGAAAGATAAGCCAGAGTGTACTGAAATGGTAAGATGCAAAGGAAGATGAAGGGGATACTGACAGCATCTACTTCATTTTCAAATTTCAATTTCTAGTCCAATTCTCTCTACTTTGCCCCAGATTCATACATCCAACTGTCTATTTGGACCTCTACTATAGAACCTACCTAGAGGAATCTCCCATTTCCTCACCAACCCTACCATCATCTGTGTCTCCCTAATTGCAGAGACTAACATCACCATTCACCCAACACTCCAAATAAGATACCTACCTGTCATTTGTGAGTGGCTGCCAAGTCTAACTGAACTTACCTACCAATAAGTATCTTTTCTAGCTTCACTCTACTGTCTTAGTGTAAGTGCTATTTTTTCTTTGCTGAACTACTGAAATAACTTCCTAATTGGCATTCCTGTCTCTATTCTGCTCATACTTATCAACAATGTAATCATCTTACTTAAAATCCTCCAAAATCTTTTCAAATTTTCTCAAGTCAAGATTCTAATCCTTTAATTGAGCACACTGATCTGTTTCCAGTCTTCATTTTCATCTTCCCAATTCAGTCCACTAAATATATTGTGTGTATCTGCCCATATACCTGAATTCATCGTTCTCTGCACATGATAAAATCCAGTCTTTGCCTATCAGTTTATTTCTACCATGTTTGTCCTTCTCCGTGTTTCCTACTTGGCCAGCTCTTCCTCACACTAAATATCACTCTCTTTGCTGTATCACTGCAGACCTCCCATGAAGCCAGACATCTTAGTCTCTGCTCTTGCAGCACTAAGAATAGCAGAACAATAATCACTTATTTGTTGAGTCAATAATAAAGGTATCCATTGGAATAATGTAATTTCCTTAAATGAAGATCAGAACTTACTAGAATGATGCAAAAAGACAGTTATTTGTTAGACAAGTACAAAGTTGTTCATGATAATGCTCAGCATTGACTATGAAGACCAAAGACTCTTCAAAGAGATCTCTTCTTCATTCAAGGGGTCTGAGTTGTCAATAGACTCAGCTCTAGGAATCTACTATTAGAGCTCAAGTAATCTTTCACACCAGAACTAAAATTATTATTATTATTATTATTATTATTCAGAGTAATGAGCACTTCAATAGCTCTCCAGTCACATTTTTCCTAGCAATTTAGCACTAACAAATATAATCTTATCTGACTAACACTCCTGTCCTTCAGCCCTTTGAGGTTACCATATGGCTTCTTAACCTCTGGCGTGCAAGATCCCAGCATCTCTACTGAGACAAAGGATTCCAATTCAAGAACAGCATCGCCTAGGTTCATCTATAGCCTACAGAGGACAGCTACTTTTCAAATATGCTTATGTTATGTTCTAACATGTCCTTCAGTGCGATGACAAAAGGTGTGTCCCTGGGCTTTCATAGAGGAAGATAGTTGTGGAAGGAAGGTCAGGTCATACATCCATTCCTGTATCTCAATTCTCTAAGTTATTCAGTTTCTTTTTTCTTTCTCTATATTACACCAAGGAATTGTTGGTTTCTCTACTTCATTTAAAGTATGCCGCTGTTGAGTCCAGAATTCAATCAACTGAGAAAACTGATAGAAATACTGCCAGCCACTCAAATCAGCACATTTTATCCAAAATTGAATGCAAAAAAAGAGCCTATATGAAAAAATTCAGCCACCTAAAATTATATACATATTCTCTGAGCTCACACCTCTAGAATCTATTCCCACATATATTCCCTCAAGTCTTTTGCTGCACAAATGGCCAGAAAATTCCAATTTAATTCTCCGGATTCACATTTCACTTAGTAATTGGTTCCCTGCAATCTGGTAGAATGTAACTCTACTTGCCAACAGGCATTGAGGAAAATGGCACTCTCTGACAAGGAAACTATCTCTGGTGAGATTTATCAACAGGTCTCCAAGCAGAGCAGGGAGATAGCTTCATGGAATTTGGGGTTTCAACAACCTTAGTTGTTTACGTACTCCCCAAAGCTACCATCCCCCATCTTCTATTTTGCAATCAATGTACTCTAGCAGAGGTGTGAATTCCACCAGAAATACAGTTTACCAATTGGCATGTTCTGATCTACTGTCTGTTTTCAACTAAGTTAATGCTTTGACAAGAGGTAAAAGATTATTGTAAGTCTGGTGTAGAAATTCCCTGTGTTTTTGACCATGCCCTTAAGCTGTGCATTTCAAGTCCTGAGCTATTATTTTCTTTCTGTAAACCTTCCACCACAGTTATTAAGAGTCAGTCTATACTACATAGTATCATCCAATCCAGGGTGGCTATATTTCCCAGTTTACCTGGCACCATCCTGTTTATATCTATTATCTTAAAATTGTTAATTATATTCCATTTCACTTTCAAAAGTGTCCCAATTTGAATGATAAATTATGTTTACCCTACATGTACCATAGCCTATCACAGTAGTCATTCATATCACCAATGACCACTTAAGGCAATCACAATGAAAATCTGTCTCATTATGAAATAACATGGGTTATCAGTCTCCCATTCTCTAGTACCAACAGAGTCCCCACTTGATTTAAAGCCAGAGTCAGATAATTAATCCTAGATTCCCGTTTTCTCGAGGGTTTGTTCCCTGAAACCATCTTTGGTATTAATAAGTTTATAAATTATGATTCTTAGTTACAGACTATAGAATCTACTCCAGGTATTAAAACAGAAAGAAATTCACTACAGAGTATTAAGAGTTTACAGAATTTTGAAAGGGCCAAACCTATAATCATAGCCAAAATAATGAATTCAGAAGAAATGCCCAACATGAGACCATTCTATCAGAAATCCCACTGTCAGTGATATTTCCTATTTGAGTCCCACCTGAGATGGAACTACATTGTAGTCCCAATACCACAGTTGCCCAGAAGATCCAATTTCCCTGCACATGACCCCCCCGTCCCACATAGTCCCCATCTGCTATCTAGGTTGTGTAGAAGGGTATCTTCTCAGTAGAACCAAGGTCATATGAGGAAACTTGGTTAAAGAAATGCCAAGCACTTTTTACTCATAAGTCTCTTTAACACAGAGGACATATTAGAGACGCTTTAATGAGGATCTTCCAAAAAAAAAAAAAATGACAAGGATTATGGGGAAATTTATATGGAAGAAAGGGATGGCAAAATTAGTGGTGCTTCCAGAATTTCCATCAAAGAGGAGTTTCAGGGACACTATCTCATTGCGAGGGGAATTAGTGAATTTGTCTTAAAGCTGAGCAAGTACACTGCTCTTATTTAGATTAGTTGTTATTTCATGTGGTACTTCAGGGAGCTAATGGCAGTCTAAGGCAGACAAATGAGACCAATTTTGGGACCACAACTAGACAAGAGAAGTAAGATACTGCCAAGACTATTACCCTGACATCACAGGCTGAAATGGACTGCCTCTGGACAGCAACTAACAAGAAAGTCCTTAAATAAAGAGTTGTATCATATTAACAGGAGTCTTCCCATAAGAGTTCAATGAAGAAAGAATCAAAGAGTATTTTTTTAAAACAAAGCTGAGACATAATTTCTGAAAAATGTAAATTATGTCACAAATTTTTTTTGATTCTGAACTTCCAGATAACCATGGATTTATTTTTTTTTACATTTACCAAACTGGCACAGGCAAGGCAAAGCAAGTACATTTTCTTTCCTTCTCTTATATTACAGTTTTGTGTTTGTTTGGTCTCCCTAACATAAAACATCCCTTTACTCTCAAGGTAGCTTTGAGGCAACAACTGTGATTATCTCTGTGGAATTTCTGAAACATCTTTTTTATTGCCCCAATTCTGAGTAAGCCAGTGGATGCTTCAAAAGCAATTTATCATGTGTTTCCTTTTTCTTTTTTTCAATCAAATCTTTGATTAAAATGGCATTTATCATAAGTCAAATGGCATAGAACAGAAGCAGCTTCTTTCAGGGCCCACTGTGGACTTACTGTGGGAAAGGGGCTGCTAAACATAAATTTTGCAGATCTGTTGGTTTCTCAGTTCATAGCATTCAACACCCTGACTCCTCAGCAGCTCCTTCTCTTCAGCTGCATCTTGAGCTTTCAACTGGGGGAAGTGGACTGGAGAGCCAATGAAATTGTAGTGCCGGTCCAGATAACGCAGGTAGATGAGCATGTGCAGGGCATAGGCAAGAACCAGCAGCAGGATCAGGGACATTGCCAGGCCAATCAGAATGGCTGGCGAGAAGGAAGATGCACAGTCTCGGGTATTGGCAAATTGTCCTCCCTTGATGGTAAAGCCTTGGATCTGTCGGGGAAAACAAAGTGCTGAAAAAGCTGAAGTCACATCTCCATTCTGTCTTAAGAACTTCCCAGTTGGGCTGGGGGTTCTGCATCTCTACTTAGCCAACTATTTTAAGATACTTAGCCATATTTAAACATATAATTTATATATACACATGATCTAAGAAGTGTGAGTGTGTTTAAGGGGACAGTGAAATTTAATTTGACTTAAGTTTAGAAACCCCAGGATGTATGGTTGTCATAATTAAGACGCTCATGAAATTCAAGTCTCAAATAAAACCTTTTTGAATATGATCTTTTGGAATATTCTAGTTCATCTGAAACTACAAAAGATGTGGTTATCTCTAAAAGTTAATTTTATACTCAATACTCATACTCAATTTTATAAGTGTTAGTATAAATTTTACAGACAAATTTATGTTTCGTTCCTCTGCTCTGATTCTGTTGACAGGAGTAAGACAGAGTCTTTTACAGGAAGATATCATGATTTCCAATTAAGTCAAATATGGATAATAATAGCTAACACTTACTGAAAATATTTTTATGTACCAGATACTCTCTTATTTAATACTCACAAGTGTCTGTAAATTACTATTTTATCACTCTTATGAATAAAGAAACAAAGGCACAGAAAAGCTGAGTAATTTGCCAATCATCACACAGCATTAGATGTGGTGAAGCTATAATCAAACCCAGGCTGAGTCTGGCTTCAGAGTCACTTTTCCGTTTATGACTCCATAACTCTTGGCGTGTTCTGTTTCTTCCTTCTCTCATCACTACCTCTTCATCAGTTGTACATTACAGACTTGGTATTGTTTTTGGGAAAGCTATGCCAGTCCCTCCTTGACTTCTGCCCAGAGTACAGAAAGAAATACTTTCTCATTGGTGCAAATGAAGTGATTTAATTACTTGGAATTAGGAGAGCTTAAAATTAACAACTGACCCCAATATCTGAATATTATCAAAATGAAAGAAGCAGGTCTAACAGAGCAGCTGTTCTAAAAAGAGAGTAAGCATTACTGGAATGCAGTCCCTTTAGCTGGCTTTTAGGATATAAACCTAGCAAGCATCACCTCACCCAGTCACCTATTTGGTTTTAATCAGAAAATTGAATCCATGAGTGTTTTATTGAGAACTTATTTTAATGACTTTAGTGCATTTAAGCATTTTTCCCTGTGAAAATGATTGTAGCCACCCACCATGCCACAGCCCTTTAGGGCCTTGTTCACTCAATTGTCTGTGCTTTAGAATGAATTAAAATAGCTTCTAAAGAAGACTCCTGGCCTGGCTTCCAGGATTCTTGATCCGGTCCCTAGGTGAAAGGACAAATCACCCTTCTCTTTGCCAAGTGCCTGAGGAGTCAAGCACCTCTTTGAGCAAAGATGGCCTCACATGATGCTGCAACTCCAAGTCAAAGCGAACATCCTCATGTTTACTCAGTTAGTAGCAGGACACGGTTGAGAACCATGTGCAGAATGCCTGGAGGACATACTGCCTGTCCACCTTCTGATGAGCGGTTACAAACACACTATATCTAAACCATAGGGAAGTTTTGTTTGGCCCAGTATTCAAACATCCTGAAAATTTCCAGTTAAGAATTCAGATTTCCAACTTCTACTGAAAAGTCAGAAGCTCCAGCATCACTGGGGTTATATTCCTACAAAGTGAAAATTAGCTAGAGTTGAATAAAAAATGCTTGTGATGCAGTTACCCTTGACCACAGACTCCAGATGGCCTACTCAAGGCACGTGACCATTACTGAAGGTTTTGGAGTTTGTCATGCTTGCCACAGTTCTCTATACTTTGGTCCTAGAAAGAGCCAGATCAGCAGAATGCAACCTTTTGTATACATCCTTTGACCACACTATGACCACCGCCGCCACCTCTGCCCTGGACTGGGCTTGCATTCTGCTGTCTGCTTACATTCAGGGTGTTTTAACAAGGCCCATCTCTGCATTTCCTGTGAGGATGCTGGTGAGGTTGGTGGCACATATTGCCCAGCACCAGGAATGGATGTGCTCCTCATAAACATATTTTCAGTCGTCCAATGGACCGCATGAACATATAAGTGAATGATTCTTATGCTGGCTGCTCCACACCTTCACTGCCTAAACTTCACTGTGCCCCCTCCGGTCAGGGCAGATACAGATGTCTCATAGTTTGTGTACTGACCTCACCAATCGCTCTGATTGATCTTTTCTTTCTTTGTTTTTCTTCTCTCCCATGTTTTTGTTTTATATATTTCTTATTCTAAAGTAGACATAACAGGCATGGCAGACCTCTCCTGCCTCACCCGCTGCTTCCCTCAGCAGTGACTTTGATCCGTCTGCCTGTTCTGCTCTCTGCTGCTGTCTCTGATGAATCCTCTTACCCTCCTGTACCTCTGGCCTGTACCCCAGTTCTTGTATAAATAAATAAATCTAAAAATAAAATAAAGTAGACATAACATAAAACCTACCAGCCTAACCATTTCATGTGTGTACAGTTCAGCGGCATTAAGTACATTCACAGAATTGTACAACTACCTTCATCACTCATCCATCTCCAGAAGTCTGTTCATCTTGCAAAACTGATACTCTGTTACAGTTTAATTTGAATTCAACTGGAATTCCCATTTCCCTCTACTTCCAGCCCCTAGATACCTCCATTCTACTTTCAATCTCCAAGTTTGACATTCTTGTTTCCTCACTAAGTGGAATCATACAAATGTTTGTCCTTCAGTGGCTGGTTTATTTCACTCAGCTTAATATCCTCAAGATAACTCATGTTGTCGCCTGTACTTGAATTTCTTTCCTCTTTAGATATTAATTTATTCTTCATGAGACATCAAGTTGTTTCCACATTTTGGCTATTTTGATGAATGCTGCTATGACCATGGGTATACAATTATTTTAGGCATATAACTAGAAGCAGAATTGCTGAATTACATGGTAATTCTATGTTTAATTTTTGAAGAATCACTATACCAAGTAGCTGAAAAGTAATTTGAAGTCAGATCTGTTGGACTCTAAAATGTAAGCTCCTTCACAATACCAAATTACCTCTCAAAAACACCATACCTTTCCAAATTTGGAAGTGGGTGGTAAGAGGGTTTAAATATATATATTTTATATATATATATCATGGGTGTGTATATGTATATTTATATATATGGATTTCTGTTTATATGTAGAAAAGGTTGTCAAGTGCCTTTAAAAGGGATGTGCAAAACCCTTGGAAATGCAGAACCTCTGGAATGGAATATCCACTGTTACTCAGTGAGTCAGAAGAACAAGTGAAGCTTCTCTCACAGGACAAGGTGAGACAGGACAAGGTACTTGACAGATGTCTCTCAGCCTAAGATTCTGGTGGTGACAAGGAACCTCTTATGACCCCATGCCTTTCCCCAAATACTTTCAAGAGGATCTTAGGGATATTTTTGACCCCCTGGCTGACAGTTCTATTCCTACACTAACTGCCAAAGCTGTCAGTCACGCTACAGAGGTTCATCTTATCTGCCCTGATAGGATCACAGCTCTATTCCCTGAAGGAAATAAAATAATTGTCTGGCAACTCCTCTCCCTGGAAGGGCCTCTCACTCCAGGAAGTGTCAGTCACTGGACTTCATGCCACAGCTTTATTCTGGTTTACAGTGAAGCATTCCTTGCTGATAATTATTAGTGACTAGAAACACCTGAATGTAGAAGCAAGTCCTTGGGAAGGTTGGGAAGGGCCTGTGTAGGGAAAGGAAATATACTCTAGCCTCTTCCATTTCATACGTTAGAAGATAAAAATATACCAATATTATTTTGAAGGTTCTCACTCCTCTGTTTTCCTTAAACATCTTTGTTTCCATTTTAGGTGTTCTCAGACAAACACAGATTTCTTTAGCACCAAATATGCAGATGTGTAGCATATATGTTTCGGTTTATTACCTGGAAATCAACAAAAGTGACCTCCCACAGGCTTGACATTTCATCCACGTCGCTGGGCAACAAGGGGGCATTGTAGCGCTGCAGGCTGCTGACCCGCTGGCAGTGGTAGGAATAACTTGCAGGAGCATATATGCCAGTTGCATTAAAAGTTGCTTGGATTGAATTATTGAAAATAATCTCAACTTGATGCAAACTAAACCAGCTCTGGATGGCCAACTTGTTGTAATTGGTAAGAGTGAATCTGAAAATAATTATAAAACCGTATTACCCCCAAAGCATTTTCTAAATTGCTGACACAGGACTTCCTCTATGAGCAGTACAATCGCGCCCTCTCTTGTTGGGTAGTAGAACTAGTTGCAAGAGAGGCTTTTGGTTTTCTGGTTTATAACAGCAGTCCCCTGTTGGGGAGAATTAAGGCAAATGAGAGGGCAGCCCCCAAGAGTGAGCAAGATTCCTATAAAACGAAAAACACAAAAAGTTTGGCTTTCTTTTTGGCATTAACACTTTGATTATTGAAAAAAAAAAGAGAAAAATTTAATTGGCCATCAATACAGAGTTAGCTAAATAAGTAATGGTCAGAATGAATAGTGACAGCTTTTACTATGTGTCAAGCACCCTTTCATGAATCTATGTGGATTTTACGTCACCCTCACTACTATACCATGAGATAGATGAGAAATGTAAGGTACAGAGTGGTTAAGTAAATAACTAGTGCAGGTTTATTTAAAGAGAAAGTATTGGAACTGGGCTTCAAACCCAATCTGACACTCTTACCCATTTTGGAATGAAATATTTTCAGTCACAAAAACACTATAATATACATATATCAAATTTTTTCTTTAAAAACAGGTAAAGTACATAAAAAATCTGGAAGGATAATCAAAATGTTAAAGTAATTACAAATGGTGATTGGATTATGGGTGATTTTTATTTCCTCTTCTTTTTTAGTTAACTTTTTTTCTGATTTCAATAAACATATATTACCTTGTAGTTTGGGTTCTTATAGAAGCAGAGAGTGAGACAAAGTTATAAATATAAGATACCTTTTGGAAAGGAAATCCTAAGTCTATTTGAGAATTTTCTCATTCAAGATATGAAAGGTGGAAAGAAGAGAAATGATAGAGGCAGAGAAGGCAGTCAAAAGGGGCAAGGATCCACTCATCCCACCTCAGTGGGGATTCAGGTCACGAGGAACCTATTCCTACCCATGCCAGGGTAGAATGCTTAACTCTGAGTTATCTTACCTGAGGAGCAGGACACTGGGCTAGTTCTACCCTTCTATCAGCCTGTGGTTGAGGGCTACTGGGGTAGGGATGGGAGGCAGTGAGTCTCTCTGGCTAAAGAGAGCTTTTAGGCAAAGAAAATCTGGCAGTTGAAAGTTAAAAGGATGCACAATAGTTATCTCAAATGGAAACACCAAAAAAAACATCATCAGGATACTAACAGGATCTGCCACATACCTTTATCATCAGAAAACACAAAAGTAAAACTATTTTCCTTTGGGGGAAAGACGTGTTATTTAAATAAAAGACGTGTAATTTAAATAAAAAAAATATTCCCCATGTCTGTATCAAACAGATATGTATATGTGTTTGGTCATTTTGTGGGATTCTATTTTCCTTACAAAGTCTTTCCAAAAGATGATGGCATATATATTTGTAGAATAATGAAAAGCCAGTGTCCCATGATATGCAGGAAGTATTCTGAGGAAGAGCTTTCCAAGCTTAAATACTAGGTTAATCAAAGTTAGCAAGTGCAGCAATTTTAAGGGCATCTTCACAGAAAAGCTAATATACAGGTTTACACTGTGACTCTCCAGGAGGGTGATGTCTGCAGTCTCCCTCAAACACATCTGACCACAGAACCCCTTTTCTTAGGAATCTTATAAATGTTTTCACAATGCAAAAGTGTTCCAGAGAACACAGCTTAGGAAAAACTACTCTAGCACACCCTGCTGGTTTCCCAAGTAATGTCAAAGACACAGCTACCTATTTCACTAAAAGGTAGGTTCTATAGGAAGGAAAACATATTTTTATAAGAGAAAATAATGCAATGCCTTCAAATCACCCCATTCATCAGAGTACCTCTTAACTGGCTGGATAAATCACCATTGGCAGATGGAGCCTTCCATACTTAGACATAGAAAAGTACAGGCAAGTGTTGCTTCTCTGCTAGGGAATTCAGCTAAAAGACATTTTCATTTTTATTAAATGGTAAGTGTGATTCATTTTCAGGAGTTACATGGAAAATAACTTTAAGTCAGGGTTTCAGCCCTTGAACCTCTAGACATATTAGATTTTTTTTTTTTCCTCAGAGGAAAAGGGTATCAGGGTCTCACATTCATGTATTCCTGTGCTCTCTGGGTGCCTAAATAAAGGAGAAAAAACTAAAGATGATTTGATAGAAATGAAAGAAAACATTACTATAGGCTCCCATCATAACACCACTGATTTTTCAGGGTGATTAGGTAGATGTGGCATTTTTGAGGCACAGTCATTAGCACATAGCAGGCCCTTGATATTTACATGTTGAATGAATAAATTAGATGGAGCTTATCTGATATGCTGCTCCCCTGAGACTCCAAAATGATAGCCTTACCTACCTTATAGCTAGACCTTTAGCATTTTCAGCATCACCAAACTTCAGAAACAACCTAAGAAAACAGAAACACCACAGTCCATCAAAATAGAGAGCTTAGTTACCCATAAACTGGACTACAGTTAAACACGAAAGCATGGTGAGCCCATCCTAATCAGTCCTCATCTGATGGAGTAACCCAATAGCCTCCACACTTCTCACTTCCAAGAACCTTCTCTAGTTACCCTGGTGTTTATGAAAACTGAATATTTGCTCTGCCTGATTTCAACAACGCAAACTGAACCATCATTCAGTGAGACTATTTTAAGTGCCAGGTACAGGACCATAATCTGGGAACACAAAGGAAAGGTACAATCTAGGAAGTCACTCAAAAGGGAGCTTCTTCTACTCTTCCAAGTGCCCTACCCTCCCATGTTCAGGACAGATTCTGAATTCTTCAGACTGTCATTGCCTAAATTCAAAATATACACAGATATATCCCAGATGCTGGGATTATGCTCTATTTGCAGGGCTTTCGCTATTTAAAAAGACTTCCGTAGCAAAACTGTCTGCCAACAATTTGCCTCTTCCTGAACATTTTTGTTTCCAAACACTAAAACATGGTCATCTTTTTCTAATCTGTGCTTTTGACCTTAAATGGTTATGTCTCTCTCGGGCTTGTTCTTTCAGCAACTCCCTTTCTGGTTCATGAGAACATAAGATTTTCATGCCAGATGAGCAAGGGCCTCTCACCAATCTATGTGATTCACTGAAATCAAGGTTACTGTTTTAGCACTGGGAAGATTCTTGCTCACCAGCCTGGGTGGGCCTGAGTAGGAGCCCAGAAGGTGGATGCTGAACATGCAGGACTTGCCCCAAGTAAAATTCTAGGGTGGTGACCAAGAAGAAAAAAGCCAGATCCCACCCACCACTAATGTGTGTATAACAACTCTTGAACAACTTGGAGGTGAGGAGTGCTGACCCCCTGCACTGTGGGAAACGCACATATAATGCTTGACTCTCCTACAAACATAACTACTAATAGCCTGCTATTGACCAGAAGCGGGGCCAGTAACATAAACAGTCAATTAACACATATTTTGTACACTATATGTATTATATAGCATATCCTTACAATAAATTAAATCAGAGAAAAGAAAATGTTATTAAGAAAATCATATGTGGGTCATGATTAAGATCTTCACCTCATCTTCATGATGAGTGGTTGAGGAGGAAGAAGGGTTGAAAAAATCCTTCTATGTGTGGAGCCTCACATTTCAAACCCTTCTTGATCAAGGGCCAATTCTATTGTGAAAACCAAAGCTAGGCCTCTTCTCCGGGGAACAACACAGTATTTTACTGTATTTATCACTACTATTGAAGATTAGTTAGGAAGCAAGTATGGACGATTAATTGGGAGGTCAGCACTTGATAAGTTCTCAAAGTTTTTATGCATACATTTCCTCTTTGATTTTCATTACGCTATGAGATAGGACAAGAGAGGTGGTAAAATGACATTGAAAAAGACATTTCAGACCCTAGCTCAATTAACACACAAGCTCTATAGCCTTGGTGAGTTTCCTAAGCTCGAAAAGCTTTGATTTCTTCATCCAAAACATAGGTGTTAACAGTACCTGTGATTCAGGGACTTACAGTTGTTTTGTGAGGAATAACAGTTACTGTGCTTGTGAAGTGCTCACACACCGCCTGGCGATGGGATGTGCTCAAGGCCTGTTCATTAATAGACAGTCATCTCCATCTCACAGATGATGATTTTATAGCTCCTGTTTGTAAAGTCACTGAGCTAGAAGCCAGTGTCCCTAAGTCCTCAGTGATCGTTGAAGTTTCTAAAGCCCAGCAAAAAGAGATAGTGTCCTAATCTTCCCCATAAAAACCTGAAAGCAAGGCTAAATGGAATCAAGGAGGGTCAGTCAGCCACTGACAGGCCAAATTATTCCCACGCAATCTGCCTCTTTCAGCATAGCTGACCACAAATAAAGAAATCAATTAGAGTGTGAGGGGAAAATCAATGCCCTCAGAGTACTGGAGTCTGCAGGTTCTACTGCTAAAAAAATCTAAACAAGGGAGGACTCTGGATGCTTATGCTTATAATTCCCTAATTCCATAATAAGAGATAGTCATACTGAATAGCAAGATATTTAGTTAGACTTGTAACACAAATTGTAACAGTGTATTAATACAACCTATCTTTATCTATCATCAAGAATCTTTAAATGTAAAGTTCAGAAATAAAAAAGTGTTTCCAATGTATATAAAATATATAAAGGAATACACACACAAACATTTAGCATGTTACAGTTTATACAAAGCATCCTGCCCATCTAAAACAGGTCAGAACAAAACAGAATTATCTTCTCAGAGCATCCATTATACCAGTAAATGTTGAAAGCAAGGAAGTTTATAGAAAGCAAGTGGGACACGCCAGACTTCTTCCCTCTGGACCAAAACAAACACAAGCAAAAAATGCTTGGATGACTGAAGAACAGAGAAAGGCACTGGCAATGGATTTTCTCATCAAAGGGATATTTGTTTAATCTGCTTATCTCAAATCAAAACTAATTATTTCTAATCATTTTGAAACCTCCTAAACAATTCTCTGAATACTGTCCACTGAAAAGCTCCCTTGAGCATTTGCAAAGAGCCAATGTTACACATCTTTATAATATGCCTTAGACTCAAACATCAGCCCTGGCCAGAGTCAGCATGCTTTTGCACCCTCCGGGATATCAATGTGTCTGTTCAGTGACATGGACTCTCCTCCCTGGTGGGATAAAGTAGTTTGCCACCTCACACTGGAAATTCATGCCAAGCCAGGAATCCTTTTTTCTCTTTTAGAATGAATTTAGTAGCCTTCATTTTCCAGAACTGTGATTTTCTATAATAATAATAATGTCATAGTTAAAGGATTCAAAAGAAAACTGCTGGGAAAAAAAATACATATTTTTAAAAACTACTTTCTGATTCGTTCTATTATGTTAGAGAATAAATATTTCCTTAGAAGTATGTATCAGGGTCATGCAAAGGAACCTACTTTTTTTTTTTTTTTCTAAACTGACCAAAAACCAGACCTCCAGTTAACAGACTATGTTATGATAAGGCTTTCCTAAGGTGAGTGGTCAACTTACGTGGCACTTTCTTCACTGCACTGTGAGTTGCCAGCATCCACTGTGGCCTTCTGGCCAAAAGCTTCTTCTGTTAGGTCCAGCTGGGTCTGATTCTTAAATTTAATTGTTATTCTTTTTGCCCAGAAGAGAATACAGGGAATTCCATCAATGGAGACATTAACTGGGCTATGATAGCTGAATGCATTCCAAGATTCTTTTTCTAAATGTCTTTGTCTGTTCAGACTGTAGTTGAAAGCCTAATTAATCAAATAACAAATTTAAAACATGAACTTGTTTTCACGGTCTAAAAGGTTTCTAGCAAGTAAAAGGTGTTATTCATAACCCACTGCAATTCTGATCTGTCTAGTTCCATAATCCACACTATTGTGGGACAAAGGAGATGTTTGGGCCAGACTGAAACAGGCTTAAAATGACAGGAAGGGGTGGGGGAAGGAAAAAAAAATGACAGGAATACCTGAAAGGTACATTGACCCAGTCCCACAACACCAAAAATGTGAAAAACAAACAAATAAAAACTTTGCAAATAATAATATTAGCAACATAGACTTTTAAAAAGTCACCTTAGTGAGAGAGGTGGTGGTGGGTGGGGGGGAAATGAATAGTTGGAACACAGCAGATTTTTAGGGCCATGAAACTATCACTTTGCATGATACTATAATGGTGGCTATATATACATTTGTTAAAACCCATAAAATGTATAACACAAAGAATGAGCCCTAATAAACTGTAGACTTTAGTTAACAATGAGGAACCAATAAAGGCTCATCAACTGTAACAAATATATTACTCCTTATGCAAGATATTAAACATAGGGAAAATTGGAGAGGGAGAGGTACTGAGAAGGTATATGGGAACTTTCTGTACTTTTTTTGCACAAATTTTTCTCTAAAGTTAAACAATTCAAGCTAAATAAACAAAATCTTGCTTAACTGTCATGACTAAAAGACTACCGTAATATGGAGCAACAGTTAACATCATTCCCTTATTCTTTGTTAAAATTCAGTATTTTTTAATAATTATGATATTGACGATAGGGTTTGTAGATAGATTTTACCAGATTAAATAATATCCCTTTTTTTAAAAAAGTAAAAAAAGTTTTTAGATGAGATCTAGTCTCATAACAAATCCATACCTGTGTGACCTGTGTGACTGGTTTTGTCGTGAAGTTCTGAATTGGTTTCATATCATCATTATTTTCTTGATCTGTTAAATAAATAATGATATAATAAATGCCACTGATTTATTATTATAGTGTCATGACAATGAAGCTAAGCACAGTGAAATATAAAAAGCTTGAGCTTCTTCAGACTCATAATCTAGACCACACTCGTGTTAGATATTTTCACGGGAGACTCCTAGCACAAGCACCAGTGCGCAGGGAAGCCCATCACTGACAAAACCCTCTTTAAATGCTTGCCCCCTCCCCACCCACAGGAATCATGAGGGCAATTACAAGTCTTACCACTGTTTATAACCACTTCTTTATTTGAAGATGTTCGAGAGAAAAAACTAGGGGAAAAAACAGAAAAGTAAAACAAGATGCTGAATGTATCTATAATTCAGATTTTATATGAAGTCAAGGAAGATATTTTAGTATATTACATCTCAATAGAGGAGCAGAAACTTAGTCTGTAATAACTATGTTTTTATAGTGATGTTAAAAGTAATGTTTTCTTCAAGAAATTAAGGAATGCAAAGAATTTAAAGAAAAAAAATTTAATCAACCCTAATCTTTATTTATTGAATAATATTACTGAGCGCCCATGATGTGCAAAGCAGTTGCTAGACACTGAGTTTTAATAACAAATAAGCAAATAATAAACCAAATAATAAAATATTTACAATGAAATTTTATACTACACTATATTTTTAAAATATTAAAGTCAAAATATTCCACACTTTTTATTAAAAAAGATAGACTCGATTGGCAAAAACTTATTTCTGAAAATTGTAATATAAATTATGATGTATTTTTCAAGTACTTCATGTTATACACACAGACATACCGAGGTGATTTACTTTTATAAATTTAAAGACAGATTTTTGCAAGCATCTTCTTTTGGAATTTAAAAACTGCTTCCGCTTAAAAATTATCAAAAATACTTTTCCATGGTATTATATATTGACATCATTTTAAATTCCATATGGTATTATGTCATGCAAATGTATCAACTTATTTGATCAGATTCCTATTAAGTATTTAATAAGTAATTAATAACAATTTATAAACACTACATGGAACATCACTGTGGATTGTCAGTTCACACCAATGAGCAGTTCCTTAAGTTAAATTTCTGGAAGTTAAATTGCTTAGTTAGAAAACAGACACATCTTTCATCATGGAGTATTTTGAACATACACAAATATAAACAGAAAGATATAATAACCCCTGCCCCCAACTGTATCTATCAGCAGCTTTAGCAATTAACAAGTCACAACCAATCTTGTTTTACCCATAAGCTCAATCACTTCCCTCTCTGGTATTATTTTGAAAAAAAAAAAAATCAGAAATTGGATACTACGTGCCTTTAATATAAAAGCATTTTTTAAAAAATAATGGCCCAAATACATCTATAAATTTTAATAATTCTTTAACATTAAATACATCATTGGTTAAATATCCAATTCTGTCATAAAGGTCATAAAATATTTTATAGTTTATTGCAAATTTTAAGCTTTTCATAATTTGTACTGAAGTATATGAGAATGCAGATGAAACTCCATACTGAGTGATTCCTATCAAAACCTTATTTATAACTATCATATAAAGGAACACTTTTATAATTAGAGAAATATATAGATATATCATGTTATGATATATATGCAATATATAATTTTAGATAAAGAATTACCAAATCTACATCATGGTAGAAAGTGCTTTAGAATTAATTACATGGAAACCAATTAGAAATTAAGTGCACCATTTTCTTTTTAATACAATCTCTATTACCAAATGAGAATTTCTGAGATGGCAGATTGATGGCTGTGATGTTCAGTAATTGCTATTAGTAAATCTATGCAAGCATGCAAACTATCCATTCATTTTTATCAACTTCACTGAGGAATAATTAATGTATTATAAACTGCATCTATTCAGTATGTATAATTCAATGAGTTTGGGCATATGTACACACCCATGACACACCACCACAATAAAGGCAGAACATTAATATATCTCACAATAGATTTGTGATGCATTTTTGCAGTGGAAAAATGTTCCCTTCACTCTCAGCCACAAATAACTACAGACTACTTTCTAGAAGTATAAATAAAATAATAAAGCACATTCTTCAAGTATAAATAGAACCACATAGCATATTCTTTAGTGATTGATTTCTTTTAGTCTTAACATGACTGAAATTCACTGATGTTGTTATGTATATCAATGTTTTACTCCTCTATTCCTGAGAAATATTTCATTATATGGCTCTACCACATGTTGCCTATGTACCATTGACAGATATTTATAGTGTTTCCAGTTTGGGGTTACTACAAATAAAGATATGAGAATTGCTGTACAGGGGTTTTATGTGGACTAAGTTTTTATTTCTCTTGAACAAATACTTAAGAGTAGCTGAGTCATATAGCAGAAGCTTGTTTTACTTTTAAAAAAAACTACCAATCAACTTCAGTGTATGAGCTTTTCTGTGGTTCTACATTATTGGCATTGTCTGTTTAATAATTGCATTCTAGTGGGTGTAAGATGCTATCTCCTTGTAGTTTTAATTTCCATTTTTCTTAGGATTAATGACATTGAACATCTTTTCTTGTGCCCTTTGACCTTTTGCATGGTTTTTGTGAAGTATTTAAAGTTTTAAAATTAAGTGTCCTCTTACTATTGAGCTGAAAAACCTCTTTGTAAATTCTGTATAAAAGTCCTATGCCAAACTGGTCCAACCACTGTGGAAAGCTGTATGGAGATTTCTGGACCTACTAAACATAGAGCTTCCATATGATCCAGCAATTCCACTCCTAGGTATTTACCCAAAGGACACAGAAACATCAATTCCAAAGAACACCTGCACCCCTATGTTTATAGCAGCACTGTTTACAATAGCTAAGCTTTGGAAACAACCCAAATGCCCAAAAGTAGATGACTGGATCAAGAAGATGTGGTACATATATACCATGGAATATTACTCAGCATTCAAAAAAGATAAACACATGCCATTTGCAGCAACATGGATGGCGCTGGAAGGGATCATGCTCAGCGAAATAAGCCAAAAAGAAAAAGAAAAATACCGGATGGTCTCACTCATAGCAGGAATCTAGAAAACTTAAATAAGGGACCAGGAAAATGAATAACTATAAGAAAGTGAAAATCAAAATCAACAAAAAACTATGAACCAGAGACACTTTTAGGGGGGCGGGGGTGGGAGGGGAGGGATTGGGGTCAGAATGGGGGGGCTGCAATTGTATGGGGAATATAACAATAAAATTTATTAAAAAAAAAAAAATAAAAAAAAAAAAATAAAAGTCCTATGCCAGATAAATACACTTAAAATATTTTCATCCATCTTGTTATATCTTGTTTTCTCATATTCCTAATGGTGACTTTCGAAAAGCAAATTTTTAATTTTCATAAAGTCTAGTGTGGTTGGTTTTTCCTTTTATGGTGTAAGTTTTTGGGTTCTTAGAGAAATATTTTCCTAACAATGTCACAAAATTTTTTTCTCGTGTGTTTTATCTCTAAGTTTAAAGTTTTAGCTTTTACATTTCGATCCGTGATCCATTTTGAGTTGATATTTATGAGATAAAGTACTTGTAATACAATTTGGAATCTGTGACAAAGAATATTTACTAGCTTTCAGGAACAAACAAAAAACAAGAATTATGCAAGGATTTAGAAAATATCTATCTCATACCCTTTCCAAAGCTAATGGAGTGTGTATTCCAGCAAAGGGCGAAAACCAAGAGGAAAACATAGGTTCTGATAAACAGTTGATCTAGCTCAAATGAGGGATGAAGAGAAGCCTAAGGATGATTATTGCACAAGAGCCAATCAATTCAGATTGGAGCAAGAGGACAACAGGGCTCTAAAGTAGGGAGATCAAAAGGAAGACCTCTAGGGGCCTCACTAGTGGCGCAAGGGGTTTAAGACACAACCTATGAAGCTATCTACAGCTACTGCAGCACGAGTTTGATCGCTGGCCAGGGAGCTACCCACATGGCTCAGCAGACCTGTCCTGTCTTTTCTGCTGCTCCCCTCAGCAGTGTATTTCAGTCAATCTGCCTGTTGTGCTCCCCACTCTGTCTCTGGTGAATCCTCTCACCCTCCACACTTCTGGTCTATACCCCAGTTCTTGTATACCTAAATAAATCTTTAAAAAAAAAAAGGAAGTCCTCTAGGTAAAAAGGGGATTTGAGAGACTATACTACATGTTAGATGATGGGACTGTGAAAATAATTATGAACCTGCATATTTTAAATATTGCAAATGAAAAAAGGTAATTTTCAACTCAAGAGAAAAGGAAAATGTTATACAAAGAAAAGAAATTACAGTATAAGAACTGATTTGTGAAATATGTGTGTGTGTGTGTGTGTGTGTGTGTGTGAGTGTATAGTCACACTAAGTGTAAGCACATCTTTAACAGAAAGAAGTAATGTAACTGTATAGCTATATCACAGGGTTGGGAGGATGAAAGCAAGGCAAATCCAAAATAACAGGAATTATTAGACAATGTCTAAATAACAAATTGAGAAATGGTCTATGCATAATATTTAAGTATTGTGACAGTGTGGTGGATTATATAATTGTTTTCAACATGGGAACAATTCCAGGGGTATATACATCCCTACCTTTGACATATGCCTTCACACCTCCCTGTTATTGGGAAATATTTTCTGTCCCATCATCGGGCTTGGCAATATCTCAATTGGGCCAGTGGTGTATGAGCTTGTGTCTATCACCTCTTGCCTTTTTCCCTTTGTCATTAGAATGGCATGCCCAAATAGAGACTGTTCTTTCACTCTGCGTCTTAAAATGAAGAGACGGGAAAGAGTTGAAACAGGGCGCTGGTAGCCCACCTGTAGCCATTAACAAGTAAAACAAGAAATAAATGTTTCGGGTTGGATGTTGAGATTCTGAAATGTGGTAATTGTTACTAGTAAAAAAGCTCACTAGAGAATAATTTTTTCTATAATTTATTATGCATCTTGGTCCACTGGTTTTTTTTTTTAAAAAAAACATACATGCCTTAGTTTGTTTTTCTAATTCATTCTTTTTGAAAATGCCTTCCTTTAAATATTTTAAATTAGAGTGGGACTAGAGGAAGTCTATGGCATAGGTACTAGGGGAATCTGCAGTGAAAGAACTGATGCCCTGGCTATTGCCAGTGGAGCCCTGACATTTGGCTGAAGGTTTTGATCCCTTGGTACCCACTGAGAATGCCTTAGGAATACCTGAGGCAGGTCCAGATGGAGGCAGCTCACTGTCCAGATGTCGTGGTAACTCAAATTGACCCAAACAAGTTTAAAAGGAAGCAAAGTGTGAATGTTTCTCTTTCAAGATGCTAACCTGCTCCTGAAGGATGTTCCCCCACACTTCAGTGGCAACAGCAACAAGTGGCACAGTTTTCAAGTATTCAACAGAATGTGAACAGACATAGAAGTTACTGGAAATTGCAACAGTTGGATAGCAATGTGACCATGCCAAAATGCCAAGATGAATAAGGCTGGAAAAAATTTTGTCTGGGTGAAAGATCATGTGCTGTAGAGGTGGTTGAACCAGCCACAAATAAAAGTCCTGGAACAGATTACGCAAAATTGGTTTTCCTCCCCTGCTTAGTACTGTTAACAGAATGAACAGGACAACAGTAACTAGTGTCTTGGAGTATATGAATAATTGGCTTACAAAAAGAGACTTTATTTCAAAATTGGAAAGACAGTTTTATGCTTTATTGGTTTGTCTTGAAAAACCTTTGTTACCTGAGGCTCATTCACTGATTCAGCACCTTGCAAGAAGGCGCTCTCATGTGAGGCTCTTAGTGGACAGTAAAAATGATGAAAAGGTTCCTGCTTTGAATTTATTAATCTGCTTGATTAGCAGGTATTTTGACCAACGAGATTTAGCTGATAAGCCAGTTTGATGTAGCTGTTCTCTCAGAAATAGAAGATAATTGTACAGGCGGCCTAAGTCTGAGGAAGTGCAGTGCCAACTCAAGAATGGATTATGTCCTATCATGAACACTATGTCAAGGGTTGTCATCATAGTCTATGCCATTCCAGTTGATATCCAGAAGACAGTTGATACTCAGAAGATGTATAGATATGAATATTTGAAGTATCATTTGGAAAAACCCCATCCAGTTTTTGATAGTTTAAATTTTTTTTTGTAGGGCCTCCCCTGGTGGCGCAGCAGTTGAGCACTGGGTTGAGAGGCTGCCCGCAGCCTCTGCAGCGCCAGTTAGATCCCCAGTCACGGGCGAGGGTCCCACCAAAAAAAAAAAAAAATTTGTAATTAGATGCTTTTGAAACAAATTGAGTGCCATTTATCGGTGAAGCATCCTACACAGAAACTATGAAAATTTTAGAGGTTCTTGGTGAGGTTTCATTTTTTATTGACATACATACATATAAAATTTTCTTTAAAATGAAAGAAAAATTATAAATTAGCATACTAATTTATACTAAGTTTCTTGTGAGTAAGATTAGCATGAATCAATCTTTAGAATCCAATCACATGTAGGAACAGGAAGAAATTTAATTTCCTGAACAGCAAAAGTGAGACTCTGATTAAAGCAATCACGTATCTACAAGAGAGACGTTCTTTAGCCAAAAGATTTACCTAAACTCCAAACTCTGTAGTGCAAATTAAAGTGCAAATTAAAAAGGTAACTAATTATATGAAAGCAACACTAACACCCAGACAATATCCAAACATTCTATAATATAACCATATACAAAGAGTTTTTTAAATTTCTTTGAGTTTTATTTATGTAAAAAATTGTATTTCACAATACAGGGCTGAGTATTCAGTTTTAAAATATCTTAATGAATAAAAAATAATGGGAAATTATGAGATATGTTTTGACTAAGTAAGGAAAAATTATCAAGCTATTTGGAAATACCTAGTTAGCAGAGGAGTTTAAAATGTTAATAAATGTTTACTGAATAAAGTATAAATAGATAGTGGAATGAACAAGCTATCATCACTAAACATGTTTTACTTGAAATTTTGCTTTACTAATTAAAATTTCCGTGTTCAGGGCCTCCCTGGTGGTGCGAGGAGTTAAGTCTCAGCACTATGAAACTACTGGCAGCCACTGCAGCATGAGTTCGATCCCCAGGCAGGGAGCTAACACACATGGCACAGCAGACCTTACCTGTCTCCCCAGCTGCTGCCTTCAGCAGTGTATTTCAGTCAGTCTGCCTGTTCTGCTCCCCACTCTGTCTCTGGTGAATCCTCTCACCTCCCCACCACACCTCTGGCCTACATCCCAGCTCTGGTACATATGAATAAATAAATCTTAAAAAAAAATTCTGTGTTCACTAATGAAAATCTTTTACTACACAACGCAGGCTCATTTTCATTTCACGAGTCTATGATCATGAGCATATTATATGTGGCTATACTACTTAGCAAAATAAATCACAATTTAGATAGGCCTTGCCCCACATTTAAGTCAAATTAATGAGGTTTTATAGGAAGCCACATAAAACCAAAAGATAGGTACATTTTCTCATCCCTACATAATCTCTAAATAAAGTAGGAACTAAAGAATTATATGATTAGGGCCTCCCTGGTGGCGAAGGGGTTAAATCTTAGTGCTATCAAGTTATCACCAGCCACTGCTACCTTAGTTCGATCCCTGGCCAGGGAGTTAACCCACGTGGCGTAGCAGACCTCTCCTGTCTCTGCTGCTCCCATTAGCAGTAGATCTGCCTGTTCTGCTCCCTACTCTGTCTCTGGTGAGTTCTCTCACCCCCATACCTCTGGCCTGTACCCCAGTTCTTGTATGCATAAATAAATAAAAATAAATCTTAAAAGAAAATAATTATATGATAAAAATTACTTGTGTGAATAAATTAAAAAAAATTTAAACCTAAAATAATACTAAATACACAGACTCTTTTTCCAGTAAAAGGGACCTTTGCAATACCAGAAAAGTAATTAAGAGCCTTTGATTTCTAGTAGCTGGTGCCATATTTATTATTACTAAGTGCTCCATCACGAGTCTTCCAAGTATGCCTCAGTGAAGATGAGGCTCACGTAAGGTAGCTCCTCATAATTTTACTCAGGATGAAGACCACATTGTCTCCATTGCCTACAAGACTCTCAGACCTCAGCCTGCCAACTCCTCTTGTTTCAGCTCCTCCCCTCTCTGGTTCTTCTGTTCCCTGAATGCTTCATGTTTTCTTCTTCCCTCATGAGTTTTATCAGCTACTGTTTCTTCCATCTGCAATGTTCTCCCTTCTCCCTTACCTCCTGTTTATTTCCTACACATCCTCAAGTTCACAGCTAAAACATCACTAGTCTAACTTCTCAGAATAGTTCAGGTGCCCTTATTAAATGAGCTCATAGATGCCCCTCTTTTTCTCCATAGCGCTTTTCACAGTTTATAATAATATCTATCACTTGATTCACCAGCACCTCCCCCATTAGACTTAAAACCCCATGGTGGCAGGAACTATGATTTGCTCAGCATTGCAGACCCAGGCCCTAGCACTGTACCTAGTTATTTAAAAATACCAATTTTTTAAATGTTATATGCATGAATGAACTAATAAAGAACAAACCCTGAAAAGGAAGTGGAAAATGGAATTCTGTCTGAGAGGGGTGAAAAAAAAATCTCCTTTTGTTTAAGTACAAACCCAATTTGAGGAAGAAATATGTAAGAGTGGTTACCCCTGCTCTTTCTAAGCTTAGGAAACATACATCAAGCTTAAAATAAAATCATTCCTTCTAGAGACATAAGAACATTAAATTGTCTCACAGAATAGAAAAATATTTTTAGATTCATGATTTGAAAGAATATTCACAAAACAGCACTGCTATTTCCTTCATAAAGAATTTAGATGTCATATTATTAAATTAAAATGATCATTGATTTGTGTGATTTCCAGGATCTCTTCTGAAGCTAAGATTATTTAAACCTATTAACCTTGCTTCAAAACCAGTACTGGGATTTTTATAGTTCTTGGTGTACGTAATTCACAAAGCAGTCATTTCTATATAAACCGGAGGAAGTATAGGTCACTTATTATTTGAAAGTGAACCTGAAGGAAATGACTGATTTGGAAACAATGGGGCGGGGTGGGGGGCTTGCACCCGTGAACACAAGCTTCTGCCTACCATCCTACTTGCCATTATCCTTTGTGTTCCCACTAAATTCCCTGATGCATTTGTTGAGATGGCACATCAGGAGTAACTGAGAGATATGACATCAATTAATTGCTATTTCGATTCTGACTATTCTTTTACATAGATAAATCTTTGCAGCTTATCTTAGATGTAATGGAAATAAGCCAAAAGAACAAAGGAAATACAAACAAATTTTGTTCATTTTAAATAGGGCATATGCCACACTATTTCCGTTTTTCGTCAGTTAAAATGATTTCACGCCTTTTCTAAGGGGACACATTATATATTTCTGAGGTTTTAAAATTGTTCCTTACTCTCTTCTCACACAATAATAACAGGAGAAAGTGTAAAAACAACATTTACTTCTAAGTGTATATAAAAATAAACAAAAACCCTGCACACTGATTTTAGGAATCATTTTCTCATAAATATACTTTCATGCATAATACAAATGCTTCTTGTGTACTTTGAACAAATAACTCTTTTCTTTTATGATACAGATTATATATTTGTCTCTTATTTATAAATTGTAGTTCAATTAATTTAGTTCAATTAATTTAGCTAAGGAATAATCTAGTGTATCCATTTTGAATTGTCAACAAAATGTAGTTATGTAACAATATAAAGAAATTACAGAATCACCCAATTTCACACTTGCACTGATATTCATGAATACATTGCTTTAAAAGATGTGAATTTACTCACCTTACATTCTTCCTGGCAAGTATCTGGTCCAAAGTTAGTGAAAATCCCATGAATAAAAATATAAGTGAAAAACTAAACAAGATTTTTCTTCCCATCAAGAAATGAATGTGTTTCTTCAAGCCAACCACATCTGTTAATTCATAAATGCAAACATTGCAGAGGCAGTACCTTTTCATGCCTTGTGACTGACAGCACATTCCTCCAATAAAAGGCCAGTTAATTTACCAGGATGTATTACATGTGAGGAAAGGTGGAGAAAGGGACTTAATACAGCTTAATTTAGAATCCAGAGTAAAACCAATGAGTCTACTTAGATTGTTTATTTAAATCAATCACAAATTATTAGGAACAGATCCTTAGAGAAAATATCTCTATGCCAATGAGCATTTCTTAGAAATTTATGTTCTTTTGAGACTGTCACATAACAATTTTTTTTTTAAATAATATTGGTTTACAACATTGTGTATGATTCAGAGGTATAGGTAAACATCTCTTTGGATGTATGTTACCACATCACACCCACAAACAAAGCACGCATAGTTCACCACAGTCCTCTAGGCCCCTTCTACACTTTGCTCTCCACATTCCACCGTCCCCTCTGGTAACCTCAATTTTATAGTCAGATTCCTAGGGTTTGTTTGTGATTTGGTTTGGTTTGTGATTTGTGATTGTGATTTTGTTTGTGATTTGACCTCTTGTTTTGTTTCTCTGTATTTCACATATGAGTAAAAACACCCAGTATGTATCTTTCTCCTACTGGCTTATTATACATAGCCTAATCCCCTATAGAAAATGAGAGGTTTAAGTGCAATGACTGGGGGCAGGAGGGATTGCAGAAATGAGGAAGAAATGCCAGAAATTTCTCCCAGAAATTGCAGAAATGCCAATAAAAATTATAAATCAGAAAAGGTCACAGCCATTAATGTTGCCTTTCTATGTCCTGTCTTATTACTTCTTCCCTTACCTCCTTTTCTTCTTTCCTTTCTTTCATTTCCCCCAACGTCTACTCTTGACCTCTCCTTTTACCTCTTGTTCTTTTCCTGATTCTGGACAAGAGGTGTCTGATTTTTGGCAGGTTCGCAAAAAAAGAAATATAGGACACCCAGTAAAATTAGAACTTCAGAAAAACAACAAATAATTTTAATATATGTAGGTCCTGTGTAATATTTGGGACAAGTGATAATAAATTATTTATTGTTTACCTAAATTTAACTGGGCATTTTGTATTTTTATTTGCTTGACCTGGCAATCTTAGCATAGGGATTCTCTGCTACTCAAATTTTAACATGCATACAAATCACCTGGGATTTCATTAAAATACAATCTGATTCAGTAGGTCTGGATGAAGCATGAGATTCTTTGTTTCTAACATGCTTCCAGATGATGCTGAGGTGGCTCACTGGGGAGTGTGCTGATGTGCAAGGATCTAGAACAGATGTGCAATAGAAATGTAAGGACAACTACATATGTAATTTAAACTTGTTTACAGCCGTGAAAGAATTTTTTAAAAATGTAAAAGTAATTTTACTAATATATTTAATTTATCTAAAATAGTATTTGAAATATTAATTTTAACAATTATTAAAATATTTTATTCCTTTTTTGCCCTAAGTCTAAAAACTGGTATATAATATACTCTCATATCATATCAATTCAGACTAGGCAGAATTTCAAGTTCTCAGTAGCCTCATGTGTCTAGTGGCCACAGTACTGGACAGTGGCAACACAGAACACCTCTTCCAGCTGACAGAGCGACACCCCAAAGTCTATCATGGTAGCAGTGGCAGGGTCTGATTATACTGCTCCAAAATCCCTGGTCAAAAGGGCCAAGCCCAAGCCTATGGCGATCCTCCACTGTGATAATAATAATTCTGTGAATACTCAGAACACATAGTGTTAGCCCTCATTGCTTACCATATAATAATCTTTTACGGAAATAGGCTTCAGTTATATTTTCAGGCACATATATACACTCAAAATTATTTCTTTTAAATTGAGTATCATTTTAATATATTTTTATGGCTTGATGCTAAAATTTAATATAACATTCTGTTGAATTTTTTTCCCACTTGGTTAAGAATATTTAAGACAAAATAATAAGTTGCTAGTAGATTTCACACGTGTATTTGAGAATAGAAGTCACACTTAAGATGTGATTGTCTGAGAATAGCTCATCCTGTGACTTTGGAGGAGAAAAGCAGTGACAAAAAAATGCTAATATGATAGCTTGTAGGCTGCAAAGCACTAGGTATCACCTGCCTGGCATTGTACCACCCTGCTCAGATGGCTGAGCAGCCTGTCCAGAACTATGAAGGCTCTCAGACTGATCAAGTAGCCAACAGATCAAACTGCCACAGTTTCACGGATGCAGACAGGAGACACAAGTTTCCTGGGTCAGAGGCCAAGGAATTTATTACTCACCACACAACAAACAGCATGACCACTGGTATTTACGGCAGTTCCCCTTGCCTAAAGAAAAGTGCAGAAGGATGAATCCAGATGGGTAGATGGATGCTTGTACAGAGAGTTTCATTTGAAGAGAGAAACCCTGACTTCCCAAGGCTATAAGGTAACCTGCCTGAAGACACACTTTCTACCTTTCAAGGCTGTTTGCTCTACACACACAGTGCAGGAAGAAAAGAAGTAACCCACTCACTTGCAGCTGCTATAGAATATGCAGAGACACACAGAAAGTTTTCCTTCAATGGTATCCCTAAGAGAAGAGAAAATGTTCATTCATGCTGCCTTTTCAATTGAACATACTGCTTGAATTTGCTTCATTTTTAATTTACAATAAATTACTAAATGAAATGTTACTGAAAATTTGAGTATCAAAAATTAATCTTCCCGCTATCATATCTGACCCTATAGAACTGTGCTCTCATGGGGTGGTCAGCCAGTCATTAGACATTCCATCTCGGACCAAAATACCATTAGTCAAATGTTCAACGGTGTTCAAACACTGATACCAAAACCAAGTCCATCTACCTTCTATGAAGCCCTGAGCCACCTGAACTTAGTTGGTCTATCATTTAATATTATGCAAACGATTTTCCCCAACATATTTCAGTACATTGGCTTGTACTCAGTTTCTCAACACCCTCCGCAGGACAAGTTTTGCACCTCAGTGGCTTTCCATATACATTGTTCCCTCTGTGAGGATTATCTCACACCCCTCTAGTGCTCCCTGCATTCATTTTTGAATATCTTCACCATGGTAATTTTTGAGCTCTGATAGAAAGATAAAGTCTTCCATGTCTTTGTGCTTGGAATCTGGAGAGTAGTTTACTCCTTGCAATGACATATTTCCCCTGCAATCTCTACAATACCTTGTGTTGCATTTTTTTGTCTTTAGATTGCATTACTTTTTTTTTAAGTATAAATAGTAGTCATGAATAGATTTGTACCACTTCTACTTTTCCAACAGATGGTGCCATGGTTTTATTTTTAATTATTAATTTATTGGCCTTTCCCAGCCTCCATAGATCAAGAGACCTGATCTGTAGCCATTAAAACAGCGGTGGGGGAAAAGGCCTGGAGTGATCCAATTACTGGAAGGAATGTGCAGGGGAAGGAGAGGCAGGCTCATCCTATGGCATCACCAATATCCTTTCTCTCTAGGATTGCACACCTGAGTATCTGCAGTCTGCACTTCACTAGGTGAGTACCAGTCACCAAGTGTGGGGAATGGTAAGCCCATCCCAACACACTGTTCTTTTTCTTTTTCACTGGGAACCGGGTGCTGGGAATACCCTAGCTCCTCCACATGTGTCCCCTATGTTCAGGGTGTGTGCCCATACCTTCAGTGCCCCTGCACAAGCAGCACCACAGTTTTTATTGCAGCCTCCCTACACCACAACAGAGCCTTCAAGCACTTCTCTCCACATACCTCTTGTTTACTGAAGCATGAATTTCTCCAGTGTTCCCCTAGGTATGATCCACAAAGGTCTCCAATGGCCAAGAGGTGCTCCAGTTTTGCCCAAGTGATGAGGCCCTCTGGGTTTAGTGATCTTGTAGATAACTTTCACATTTTTCTCTTGGGAGCAAAGCAAGGACTATCATCTGATGCCATCTTAAACTGACCACTGTCTCTTAAATTTCCAAAACGGGGATTGTGTCTAATTAACCAATATAGAACTAGAACTAATATGCTGATGGCTCAAGTTGGTGCTCAGTAAAATGTACAGAATAAATGAATAAAACTATCAAAAGTGCCAAAAAAAGTTATTTGATGTAACATAGTTCCAGGGCCTGAATATTTAGGTAACCATAAATGAAAAATCAACTAATTCAATTATTCATAGAGCTCAACAGCTTGAAAATACAAATAGACAAAACTCTGTTTATTAGCAAAATTATGTATGTAAGTATTGTTCCGCATGGAGGGAGGAGTATGACTCTGTGATGGTTAATGTCTATCAACCTGACTGGGCCATGAGATGCCCAGATGTTTGCCTGAACATTACCCTGGATGCGTCTCTGAGGGTGTTTCTGAATGAGATTAATCTATGAACTAGTTGGATGGGCAAATATCATTCCCCTCCTATCAATGTGGGTAGGCCTCATCCAATCCATTGAAGATCTGAATAGAATACAAAGTTGGAGTAAGGGAAAGAACTCACCTTCTGACATGACTATCTTAGAATGGGGACCTAGGTTTTCTTCTGCCTTGGGCTTTACCTAAGACTACAACTATACTGTTGGCTTTCCTGGGTCTCAAGCTTGCTCAATGCAAATCTTGGGACTTCTCAGCCTCCATAACTGCATGAGTAAATTCCATATAGGAAATGCTCCTTATATAGATATAGATGTTATAAATATGGATGTGGAGAGAGAGAAAGGATCTCTGAAGAATTCAAACTAATACAGACTCTATAAAGTTCAGAATCTAATTGCTGCCATGATTTCTACCAATTTTCATCAACTTCTTAGTTGATTAGAATCAGGTTAGTAAATGAAATACCTCTAAATGCTTTTGATTTAAATGTTAATGTTTCTTCCTTTAGATTTCCCCTTGACTTCTTGGAATGTGGATAATGTGTCAGATTAGTGTCTCATTCATATATATATATATATATATATATATGAATATATGAATAACATATATATATATATATAATGTTACTTTTC